TCACAACAAAAGTTCAAAACTAACCCATCTCATCGATTCACGGAGTGTGGAGGTCCCTTTTTTTCTATTGAATGGTCTGTTTATGCTCAGAATTTTTTTGGTCGGTTTTCTTTTCTCCTCTTTTTTGGTCAGTTTCTCTTTCTTCTTTTGGTACTATGGAGGAGTTTTTCACGTGTAAAGGTGCATTTTTGCCTTTTTCGGTATTTCAAATAAGTTTTGGTTTTTTTTTTTTTTAAATGCTATTTCTTGGTCAAAGGCTAAACTTGAATATTGGTCTTTTCAATCAGCTATTCACGGGTATTTCCTCCTCATCTCCTCTCCATTCTCTCTTCATTACCGTCTCTTTACTCCCAAATCGAAACCATCATTGCCGCCACTGCAGCAACCCTCTTGATGTGAGCGTCGCTACTGTGACGGTGAGTTGTAGTGCAGTTAAGCGGATCGACTTCGTAGTGATGGTGATGCTACAGTTGAAGTCGTAGTCCCAGTCGCAAAGTGGCTTCGTCCCTGCGGATGCTACAATTCAGTAGTAATGGTGGTGCTATAGGTGGTGGCGGATCTGGCGACAACGATGTGCAGTGGTTGGTCGCGATGATGGTGGTGGTACATGTGGTGATGGATCGGCGCTACGGTGAGGTGTTGGTACTGCAATAGTTTTTTTGTTAATAGGTTTAAGCAGGGTGGAAATGGAGTTGTGGTGGTGGTTGAAAATGGTAGTGGTGATGGCGGCGACTGCAATGACGTGATGGTGGTTGTGTGGTGTTGGGCGATTTTTGGATCTGTTTTATTGGTGTAACGGTGTTGGTGAGGTAGTTTTGATGGTGGCGGTGGATCTGGCAACAACGATGTGCGGTGGTTGGGTGCGATGATGTTAGTAAAACTGGCAGGGGCGGTGAGGTATTGCCATATTAGTACCATGATGGTTTCTTGTTAATAAGTATGTTGAGATGTGTAGGTTGGATGTGGTAGTTGTGGTGGTGGCTGAAAATGGTGGTGGCGGCGACGATGGTGGAGGCGGTGATGATGACTGTGAGGTGATCAAAAAAAAAGTTTTGACAAATAATTTGATAAGTTGTGATCGAGAAACTAATTGTCCAATTAATTTGATAATTTGCAATCAATAAATGAGTTGTGACCAATAAAATTTTCGATTTGTGATCGATAAATAATATGTGACCTATAAAATTAGTAATTTGAGACCTATAATTTTTTTGATTTGTGATCGAAAAAAATTTGTGACCAATAATTTGATAAGTTATGATCGAAAATTAATTTGTGACTAATTAATTAGATAATTGTGACCAAATTGCATATAATTTGACATTAATATATTTATTTAATAAAATATATTTAATAAATTCGTTTATAAATAAAAAATTTTAAAAAAAATTGATTTTCGAAATTTGAAACTTTGTTTTCTTAGTTTTAAAATAGGTGACACTTAACCTTTTAATTATGAAATTTTCCCTTAATAAATTAAGTTGATTCCAACAACCCATGTTATTTTTAGGCCAAACCTTTAAACTTGATTGTTGATAATAAATTCACCCATTGGCCGAGCTTGTGAAATACAATCAGGGACGAACCCAGCACCCGAAGAGGGGGCGCGGCCACCCTTGCTGGATCGGTCGGAACTTTTGTATTTTGGAACCGAAAGCCCGCAGCTGGCAGCAGCAGACCCTACGACTGAAATGGTGTAGGGGCAGTCTGATCACGAAGGAAGTGAAGAAGATGAAGTGATATTGGTTTGGGCCCTTTTTGAAAAAAAAAAAAATAGTGGGCTTCAATTGTTTTAGGCCCGTTTTTATAACATTAAACCCATTGGTAATTGCCTAAAGGGAAAATTAGCTTAAACCAGCTC